ATTATGAGTCAGAGACGACTCGACGGCACATAACAACAGCAACACTGACCAGGGCTTTTATTTTTCTAGAGGGATGTTTCTTTGTAGTTCTCTTTTTTCCATGTCTGCTGCTGTATTTTCTCCATTTTTGCTTCTAGATACACTGATTACCACATACAGCACTGTGACGTCCAATGGTGTATAGGACTGTGAATCACACACTTGCTGGTGGCCTCACTTAAATAAGATACCCCATTCACAGGGATAGTGGACAATGCTCAGTGAGCACATTTTTATTCTGGCCTCCTGACTGGAAAAGATGTTATGATCTACCAGGCCTTGTTAGACAAGTAGCCACTATGCTAAAGGATCCTTAAGGAACTCTGGTGGTATAGTCATTAAAGTGTTTGCCTGTTAACCAAAAGTTCAGTGGTTTAAATTTACCAGCCACTTTATGGCAGAAAGATGAGGCAGTCTGCTTCTGTAAAGATTTACAGCCTCAGAAAACCTATGGGGCAGTTCTCTTCTGTCTTTTAGGGTTGCTGTGAATCAGAATCAACCCAATGGGAATGGGGAAAGAGTCCATAAATCAAAGAATGATATCCTATTTCTTATCAGTGGGTTTTATCATCTCAAGAAAGGAGGTAGGAACAGTAGATCAGGGACAAGAATGTAAGAAATTAGCCAATTGGGACTATTGTAATATTTTCTTAGATTTCTTTTTGTTTAACTCGTGTATGTGTGTCTGTGTGTGCATGCATGCGTGTGCGTGCTTTGCATGCAAATTTACAGAGCAGAGTTTGTTTTACATTCAACATTTCATGTAATTTGGTTTCACTCCTCACTTACCATTCCCAACCCTAACCCACGCTCCTCTCCTTTCCCAGACACCACCCCCACCCCTGTGCCCTTCTTAGTTATGCACTCTTGTCTGTACAGTTTTTCCTCCATGTGGATGCTGCCCCTCTGGTGCCCCATGGCCAATTGCTCCCAGGGGTGTATCTCCGTACAGTAGGTGGGTACATCACCCTGGGTTTAGTGTTCTGCATGTAGGTCTTACTATGATTGGGCTGAGA